CAACTTAGCAAATGCACTATTTGAAAAATTTACGACTATGGTCTTTTTGTGAAAATGCACAACGGCAATCATGCATCCAGGCAAATATTTCTTGCTAAACACTAACATGTTTAGCAAGAAATATCTATCAAGAGGATATATCAGAATGTCAAACATGCAAAAAGAGTATCATTCTTGTGGGGACTAAGTATTGTAACGGAAATGGCCTGGGGTACTCACGTTTGAAATGGGGGATCGAAATTCATGGTATTTCAGTAAATGGGAGCCCCATTTGGGCCCCATTTACTGTCAAATGTGACACTGACAAGCGGGAAGTTTCGCACCTGTTCTGGAGATTTCTAGAACTATCTGGAATACCTGGAGAAAAGGATATAAGCGACGACGAGAACCAGACGGGGGAGAGTGAAGTGACAGCCGCGCCTGAGTGCAGAAGAAGTTAAACCCGCGAGTCGGAAATCCGTGTTTTCCGTGTGTTATTGTTATCGTTTGTGAAGTTGACATTAATTTTAGAAGTTAGTTTGTTCCTGTTCCGTAGTTAAAGTTGTACCGAGTGGAATAAAAGTTGTTTTCTGAGGAAAGAGTTTAAATACTCGGCCATCCACAAACCGTATAACCATTTGAGAGACTATTAATTTTGTATGCAAATCCATCATAATATATAGGACATTTCATAAACAAAAATGGCATGCTTTACGTAGTCTCTCCGTGTCAGGAAAATCTGTTATTAGATTGAAGGCTACATTTTTAATTGAATAAAAACTGCCAAATCGTAACTTTTACTTAATTACAATAATTTAATTGTAGTAAATCCATAAAATATTTCAAGTTTGGACAGTCTGGATATTTTTAACTATAATATTGGCGTCAAATGGAAGTGGCGAGTGTTTAAGACAATTCACATTAGAGAGTTATTGTCGGTCAATAAGGGCAATCAGTAATAAAGTTAGTGGTATTTAGACATATACGAGTGCGAAATCGAGTTTAAAAATAAGGGATCCCTTAATAATGATACTGTTTTGTGCGTTAATTGTGCAGCGATACTGTATAGCTTTATTTCTACCATAAACGGGCAGTTGATATTTCTAGATTCCGCTTGCAAGTTGTATGCATAATCTAGTTTCTATTCTTAACCGTTTTTTTTTCATTTTGGATTAAAGGACTTTCAAAATGAGCCAAAATAAAAATGCGCGCTTAAGATTCACTCACGGTCAATTATTCTAGAGAAGAAAAAGTGTTTGTCCGATTTATAAGTGTTTTCTCCAAAATTGTATATTCAATTAAGTTTTCACTTGTTCCGTCTATAACTGCGGCTGCTAAAATGCTCAAACAGTACCCAAAGTCCTATAAAATTTAAAAAAATACAATGTTGGCAACGTAAATTTAACTTTTTTCTGTTAGTTAGGCACATAGGTTAAGTTATACACTTCTAATATTGATAGCAGTGAACTGGACATTCCAATAACTATCATTTCGTTAACGAAATAAAGCATGTAAAACAGTATTTTTAATTCCAATAATCCTCTATTCACACCAGTGTTGAGGTGTAACAGGTTTTTTTATAGAGGCACATCATAAAGTTTACGTTGCAAAGCTCATTTGTATTCAAAAAATTTATATGACATAAGATTTCAGATGAATGCAATTCTGAAAATACGTAATATAGTCTATAATGTTGAAACGGATCAAATTGTTACAAACTGTAGCTTAAATGCCAAAGTACACAATTTTATGAACCGTATTTGTTAACTGCTCCACTTTTTGTTTTCATTTTCTTCTTTTTATCTTTATTATAAGGAATACCGATTGAGAATATCTAAAGAATAAAGTAGGTAAAAACTATATTCAACGCTCAACTCTAATGGTATTATTGTTCGCGCTAAGACTCTTACGAAAGTTGGCAATAAAGCAAATACTGTTTCTGGGTTAGGAGAACGGCAAAACTAGTCTTTGACCCGAAGCTTAGTTTACGGACGTGCATCTTACATATTCGACGTTATAGGGGTATTTAGATGGAGATCAGGATATTCAGTTTAGTCTGTTTGCGTATTTCGAGTAAATCGCTAGCTTAAAAGTTGGCGAAAGACTGTTATGATATTACAAGGCCGATAGATCTGAAAGCAAATATAAATAATTAAAGAGTTTTACAATATATTGAACGTGATTATGTTAAACTAAGTGCAGACGTCAAATTTAATAAATTTGAATGTTTTAAAATAAGTTCTAAACAGTTTTTTACATAGGTTTAGAAATTTACCTATATTGTTAAGGTGAAAGCAAAGTAGTAAGATACTTCGTGCTTTATTAAATGAAAAACATAGGAATAGTATTCAAAAGCCAGAATTTTATTACTCAACAGGTAATAAGGAATTTGATTTACTGCAGTGGAGTGGAGGAAGTAAACATTTTTGATAGACGCACTTTTAAACCGAACTGAAAGTTATATGAGAATCCTTTTGAAAACTCTGTTATTAAAAACATATTTTAGTGCACCTATTTGAGTGACTTTGGGGGACTTCGTCAGTTTTTGAAGACAATTATATATTTGTTTTAAATTATTTGGTAAACACAATTACGGAATTTTGGACTTGGTAACTTTTGACCATACATGACTTCAACTTGGTACTTGGTCAATACATGACGCATGGGTTTTTAAGCGGTGCAGAGTAATGCACCGAGCAGTAATGAGATGCTGTTATTACGCATTGACGCACAGAGCGGCATCAACATAAAAGTGCCACACAAATGTTACCTAGGCCCACAACAGTAATATTTTGTAACATCTTAAGTTTTTTTCAAAATAGCAAGTGATCCAATAAAAAAGCAGTTTACGTTTTGAATAAAACGTTTAATTGTGGTATGAGGTTAAATCATTTATTGAATAATGAAGTGTATATCAAGCGGTTTGTATGAATGGAAAAAAACATTCGACATTGACCACTTCAGCCTTGCATGCACAGACGAGCTCTTATCGTGAAATTTTCAATCACTGTTTCACATTTTGTGATACTTCAGTGATACAGCGCTATATTTCTTCTTTCAAGGCTTTAATTGTACGTTTTCTCATATAAACGTATGCCCAAATAGTCCATTTGCGTTAAATCGCATGATTTGGACGGCTAGTGCCGATCGCTAAAACGCGAAATGACACGACCAGAAAATGGCTTTCTAATACACCATCATTGGTAAAATGTTCTTCTAATCTCCAAATGAGAGTCAACATTGTTTAAGGCCATGATACCCTAGCCTGTGGTCATAATATGTGTTCCTGATTAAAATTTTGCTGGCGATCCATCGGGTTATATGGGTTTTCTTGAATATAATTTGTTGAACTAGTAGAAATTGCAGACAATGAAACATTGAATTGATTTTCCTCCCTTTTTCTCTTAGCGATTTCAAATACACGGATTTAACATTACTTGTCCTTCATTCATTTCGTACATTTTTGCGTTTACATCATTTGAGTTAGCCGACAGTGTTGATCAATAGATTCCATAACGAAGACGACGTCAATATGTTCCGCTATTTCGAAACTTATCTGTTTGTAGTTAACTCAATGTTCCTATGAGATAAGATTGAAACATGCAGACCGAGCATCTCACAGAAAAGTGGATAATATATTTTTTCTTTACCCATGCAGCCAATCTTCCAGTGTCTTTAGCCCTTTGTTGGCGTAAGTTCTTACAGCTTCTGCTATCGTAATGTGGCATTCCCCCATAACTTTTAGCATATGTGCATATTCGATATTGGTGTACATTTTGTGAAAGAAGCTTCAAAGTAAGTCACAGTTTGACAAATCCTTGTTATTATTGAGAAAGGCTATCTACCAGTAACTGTCTGTTAATGACAAAAAACATAATTGCCGCTTTGAATTTTTATCAAAAAATTGTAGAAGATTACTTTTTTAATATAAAAAATCGTAATTTGGAGCAAAGATAGTATCTATTTTTTCTTTTCAAAAGGTTAAGTATTCCAATAGGTTACCAATCAAACATGGGACCATTTCAAAATAATACTTAATAACAAAGTTGAAATTCGATTTTCAACTGTTAATATCTTGAAATCTAATCTAGTCTAAAATCTAGAAATTTTCGAAAAAAGAAATTTCAAGATTATTCTCGTACGCTCCAAGTGAGCTCTATTACCCCTTACAGGAATGACGCCAATTTTGAATCACCCTCCATTTCCATGTAGTAAGATTTACATGCGTAGATAATTTAGAGTTTTGATTGGGCTTATCGAATTTTAACCGCGGCGCATATTACACAAATATGAGGGTAACTCAGATACTAATGTGTAATGAATTAATAATTCTTCGGAAGGATTAAGTTATCTTACGGTTTACACATCAACTTATTTCCGAATTTTCGCAAGGAAGATTTTAGAAAAATACTGATTAAGTGTATGCTGTGCAGCGGTATTTGAGGTATTGACTACCTGAGGTTTCACCGTTTTCATAGAATTTGAATAGAAACGTGTATATTTTTATTAACTTATACTACAATTTTAAAGTTACAGTTAAAAAATATTAGAAGAAATATTGGTACTTACCAACTAAACCCCGATTTGGAAAATCTAGCAGAGAAGGAAAAACATCTGAAACCAATTAAGTACATCTGAATTATGTTAAGCCCTGTTAAATGTCTCCTACTTGGTCAAACCTTTGTTCCTTAGCTCTATGTTTTTGCACTTGTAGTGAATCGTTGGTATGTTAAGTGTTCAAAGTTTCAGTTTTAAGATTGCGACTCAAAAAAATAGTTCTTCGATGAATGATTGATGGCCATTCAATAAACTTATGTTTTCAAATCCGTTTGGAACAACATATATTTTTGAAACTCAAGAATATCGACGTTAAGTTATATAGTAAAGATGAAGAAGGCGAAAGTAGTAAATAGGCAGCAACACTTCTAGTGGATCAGAGGGTTGACATGACTTTCTAGTATTTGCCCAACACAAGTAACGGATTTAAGCACAAAGAACTAAACTGTATTTTTTATTTACAGACAAAGCTCTAACGCTTGCAGGTTGAGCCTGCAGATTATGGATGTGTCTTTTACAAACGTATTGGAGGGGGCGCGTCAATATTTCCAGGGGCTGCCGTCAGCAAGCGCGGCGGCCGGCCCCTACTACGGCCAGCAGAATGTACAGCATGAACAACAGCAGCAACAGAATCAGCAACAAATCAATCAGCTACAACGCGGTCAGCACCAGCAGCATTATTATCAACAGAGCAATGAACACTACGCGGATAGTTCAACTGCAGCTGCTGTTTCGTCCAATGCGGGTTGGATGTCACAACATACCCCATCGGAATCCAGCAGGTGAGTTCCTCAATATGGGCGGTATGCGGTAAATTATTATTTAAAAATATTATTATGCAACTCTTCTGAACTTTAATATTTCCCAACCCTGTCCAACGGAATTCCTGAAATTTACTTTTACTTTTTCAGTCCACTTTATTCATAATTTAATTGTTACAGGGTACTATATTCCACATAAAGTCTAGTCCAGTCTTAAAGTATAAATAAAATACTAGCTATTTACACGTCTTAAAATTAATTAACAATGTTTAAACAATCGAGAGTGCGCATAGCAACTGGTTCAACGGTTCTGTACGATCTCACAGAAAGGAGTTACGCCTCTCGGCAGCCCACCCAGCCGAAGCCATAGGGCCGTTTTTGCACTCCCAGCCAAACCACCATTCCCCGCAATCGGGCATCGGGGATCGATGAGATTCTGGTAGCTCTTAACCTGTATAACCTTATCACATAACACATATCTTAACCTATATGCCACCTTAACCTATATAACCTATTTCCTAACATTAGAACCCCTCGCGGTGCTGTCGAAGAGCGGCCCCAGGCAGTCACAGAGGAGAGGCAGGGCTACGACCGAACCGCCACTCCATCCGGCCCCAGGCACTCAACCACACCCAGAGTCGGAGATTTCCCCCGTCCATCTAGTCGAAGTCATCGTCGCTGACGATGACTTTAGCCTACTCTACAAACATACTAACCATACTCCCACCTCTCCTCCCATCCATGCCTCAAGCGCCAGCAGGGATTCTCCGGAGCTAAACTCTCACGCGCAGCCTCCCTGACTGGTTTCATACACACCGTCCTGGCGTGCCGAGCCGTCTCAGCACCCAGACTACATTCACACTTAACACAGCCCCTTATTGCAAACCTATGTAAGTAAGCACGGAAGTTTCCGTGTCCAGTTGCAAGCTGCAGTGCCTTTTTAATCAAACCCAGCGTACCCTTTCCCACTCTGTCACACACCTCATATAATCCTCTCCCATTCTTACTACATGGACTGGAGCCTTTGCCACTCGTCCATGACCCAGGACCGCATCCGACTTCTGACCTGCCCTTTGGTTATTTGTACCGGGACCTCCATCACGGGTGTACCCCAGAGCGCACAGCTGGCTTCCTCATCCACGGCGACTGCACTAACGGAGCCCTCGCGAGCTTCTCACTGCACTGTGACCCATACCACCATCCCTCATAGCATGCAACGCCCTCTGTACCTCAGCAGGTTTCGCAGACCGTGATTGATAATCATTAATTGCAAGCAGGGCATCTCTAGAGTCCGTCCACACTACCGCACAATCACCCCTTATGCAAAGAGACCTCAAATTCATCAGGGCCTTTCCAATTGCTGCGATCTTTATGTCATTCACACTCTTACCACCCCATTCAACCCATTCATCACTAACCCTCTCACACTCGCTCCTGTCCACACCCCACACACCACACACCAATAGCCCCCTTTCCCACCCGCAACTGCTGCATCACACCACGCATTCCAAACCGTATTCTCCCCCTGAATCGTCTCTCCTCCTCCAGCATTGTGCAGCCGCTTATGCGGAGGGACCCGCTCCGACTTTCTCGCCATTTCAACATTTACTCTCCATCCGTACTCACTATAAAATCTATGCCGCCCCAAGCACTCGAGCCACATCGGGGGGGACCCGTACACGACCTGCAGGGCCTCCGTAGAAGTCCTATACGCCCTTCTCATTCCAAGAAGTAGAAGCCTGTGGCATGCCTCCAGCTGCTTCTTAACTCGGGAGTCGGACGCCTTGCCCCCCCCTCCCCCATATTTCAGACGCATACAAGATTGCACTCTTCACCACTCTCTCATAAATCATCCACAGCACATTATTTGCCGCCAGTCCCACACACTGTACCCACTCTCACACACTTGGCATGTTCCAGGAAGAGAAACTTGGGGTCAAGCACCAAAAAAGGACTTCCTAAACTGCTGTTATGTCCATTTTATATTTTTCCCGTTCGAGTATAGCGTTGAGAGAGGTTCCGTTCTGTTCCAGCTGAGGACTTTCCATGTCCTTATATTCATATCCTTATGACATTGCTTTGGTCGTTTTCGTGGTTCCATCTAATTGCGAGGCTTTCAAGTTTCGTAGCAGGTGTCGTTTTACAGGGTGGGTTGTTCGCCCTACGCCTAACATTCCGCATTTTCTCGGGCTTAGGACCGGTAGTGACAACCGACGGGCTACTCAGTCTGCCCACCCGCTGCCCCAGGCGGAGTGTTCAACTGCAGGATTAGATGGTTAATAAGCCTGCACGTGAATTGCTAGTTTTATTTAGAATCTGAGATTCTAACGCTCTCAATTTCAAAGCATGCTCCTCTTTCATATGTTTTATTCTTGACTCGTGCATTTCATTTTCATTTTCTTCTTTTTACCGTGATTCTTTTTTTGGCTTTTTGGCAAATTTTTCTGAAAATTTAAAAACTTAATTTTTTTTCGAACCAGTTCTTCATAAATAAATTATTTTTTTTGGAACGCTTTGCGGTCATCTCGATGGCAGCGTTGCCGCTAGGGCTTGTCCGCCACAAGAACCAAAATTTAGATGTACTCGTTGTACTTGTAACAGTTATTCTACGAAGATCTTATTCTTAGTATATACCGCAATTGTAGATTTGGGATTTAGCTGGACCCCTCAAATCTAGCACAATTGTTGAAAGTGACCGAACCAAAACTTTTGCTTATATCGCAAATATAAAAGTTTGCAAATGTCGAAATTATTGGCGTTGATTAGTACTTCTACTTTAATTTAGTGCTTTATAGAAAATTATTTCGTCTTTTGTTTTCAATGGCGAAGTTACTTACACAAAAACCTTAGGATATCGACATTTTTCTAATTCTAAACCAAAAATAAATGACGTTCTGCGTTTTAGCTTTCATCAGTGGCGTACTGCCAATAAATTAAAACATACCAAATAGCACCCTTAGTATTTAGATACATATTTATAACGCATTTTTTTTCAGAACACCATCGAGGGAACGCGCGCCAACTCAACGGCCGCCTTCACAAAGCTCTGGTGGATCTCGTCCTCCGTCTCACTCGACCCAATATCAAGATATTTCGCGGCCTTACCACAGCCCCTACCCATCTCAAAGTCAGGAACACCACGTGCCTGCTTCGCAACCGCAGCAGTCTTCGTTTCAGTTCACGAGGCCTCAGTCGCGAGAAATACAACAAAATGCCCAGCACTACCAGCAGCAAGCCATCGCTACCAATTCAACGTATCACCAGCCAGCGTCTCCGCAGTCATCTCGGTTACCGACTAGAGAACAGTTAGCGCATACGATGCAATCCTATCAGCACCCGCCGGGAGTAGCCGCTCACACACCTACACATCCACAGTATAACTATCAGAGCAGGTCTTATTACCCGAATACGCAAGCTCAACCATTAGCCGCCAAGTCTGAAGGTACTTACATGCAACCTCAATCGTCGCAAGCGATGTACTACAAACAGATTACTCCCGGTCAAGTTGCCAGTATGCCAAGTAAGCAAAATTCGTACATTATGGATAATCGAAAAACTGAGACCAGTATGCCAAGCAACGCTCAATACCAACCATCAGTAGCTAATGACCAAAGCTACCGAGCAACACACAATTTACCACCAATAGCTGCGTTGTCCAATTATCGACCAAATAAGACAGGTTTGGTTAAAGAGACTGGCAAATCTGCATTGCCCCGGTCTAAAGTGCTTTCTTCACTCAATAGTTATTCTACAAGTGTAGCTCAGTCAATTAATAATTCTGCATCAATTGCGTACGGTAATAGCAGACCTGAATCATATTCCAGCACAAATTCGGCTTACGACATGTATAATCATGTGACTAATAATAATGCCCAGAATCAAAATAACCAACGAATAAACCCTCATGTGTCGAGTGTGATAACACGAACATGCTCTAATGTTATAATGGCGACATCTAATACTTCGCATTACAGCACACCGAATAATCAAAATTATAATCCAGCAGTACCTTACCAGAGAGCGAAAGCAGAAACGCAAAATTACCACAAAGTACAACCGAATCAAAATGTTAATTACCAGCAACCGAAATCTGCTGATAGTAGAACGGAAAACATTGTAAATGTACCAAACACATCTGTTATTAAGCAAAGAAAAGAAATTCCATTAGATCTATCGGTCAAAACAGTACGTACATCAGCCGATTCTACCGACGGTGAAACCTCAAGGAATAAATATTTACAAAATAAATCTCAGAATGTAATTTCTAGCCATAGCTATCCGACTTTAGATGTTAATTCTATAGAAAGGAGTCTAACTCAACGATCTCAGTTACCAACAGCGACCGCCCCGAAAGTAGAATTCCATCCGAATTTTAATCTGTCTTCAAGAAAAACTAACTGGAATCCTGCTAAGGCCAGCCAGGATCCCTCAACCAAGCGTGTTTATCAAGACACAACCACTCATGCAACTATGGACTATAATAATAGTACGCAAGCATCATATCAATCGGATTATCTTCTAAAGAACCGATACCCTCCAAGTACAATTTCCAGTATTCCGCAATATGCCCATCACCCATATGAAAATCATGATATATCGGGTAAAAGACCCGGTCAAATTCAGTCTCCAGCAATTCCTACGAAAATGGCCAAGGTGGAGAATTGGAGAGAATCCATTAATCTTCAAATTGAGGAAAAAATTACCTCGCACGTCAAACAACAACAATTGCAGGCACAACGACAGCCCTCAACACATCAACACCGTGTTCAGTCTGTACTACATCGTCACAAAACGTTTGAGGATGTGGCAAGATCTTCTTTGGCAAATGGACAATATCCTCAAGCTAATAATCATGATAGCAATTATCAAAAACCCCCTTACAGCAAACCTAATAGTTTATTTCCGCAACCGAAACATAGTCAGAGTTATGTGCCTTCTAGTATACCTCATTCCGGATACTACAACAACCCGAAACACACTCAATCTCTTTATATCAATCCTGCAGCGAGGCATAATTCAGCTACTTCTGTTGTACCTATTGCCAAGCCGCATATAGCGACAGGTGCGGACAAAAGAGTGTTGAGTTTACTTCGGAACAGTATTGAAATTAAAGAGCAAAAGAAAATAGAGCAGTTGAAATCACAGGATTTGGTAATATCCCAAAGAACGGATATTCAGCATCCTAGTACCGATGTAACTGCACCGTTGCAGCCGAAGCCGGGGATTGATAGACGTAATGTTTCCCCGTTTACTCCAATTAGTGTACCTGATCCAAATATTTGTAAGATGCCTCCGAAAGTTTTAGTCCTACTGGAAGATACTCGCATAATTCCAGATCTTGCTGTAAAAGTACCAAATGAAGACAACACAGTTATTATGAACAATAGTCCAAGCAACGATTACGATGGGTTGGCTGCGTTTTTGGCAGCTAGAATTCGAACGAAAGGAGAATTGAAAGAATTGGCTCACCATCAAGTAATTAACAGTAATGCTGCTCGAGATGCCCGAATACAAGCCTTCTTGGAAGATACAATGAAATCGCCGCACAGGCAAAATATGCTCATGTCCAGTTCATCTAGTATATCCAGTACAAGCTCGCAAAAACCTTTAAAAGATAAACAAGCTGCACGAAAAAAGCTATTTACCCGCAACGAGGAGGAATTAGTAAAAGCTTCTATATCTACTAGAGATAAGTCAAGCATTAGAAGTTCTTCGGAAACATCTGTATTCGATTTCCCAGATTCAGATGATGAAAACGAAATGCCAGTATTAGAAAGACAAACACTGGATGCTATGAGACGAGATAGAAGAAACTCTTTGAAGTTGTCCACGACACCGTCACACACTATGGAATCAGACATTAAACTAGATATATTAGAGTCAACTTCTAGAGCTCCTAGTCCAGAAGATGATATATTTGCATCAATCTGTGATACATTTATGGAACAATTGAGAAACAAACCCACGAAACGAGTAAAACGTACAGTGGAATCAGATCCAATAGTAAAACTAGAATTTTCTGAAGAATCTACGGGGGAAGCTATCCACCCCGTTAAAGTTAAGAAGGAAATCAAGGACGATGCAATACTAAATTATCAAGAAGGTGGTACACCAACCGACGACCTAAACATAATGCCTTCTTCAGGTGATCGAAGCCGTTTATGCGATCCTGACTTTGAAAAATGTAAAACACCAATAATAATTAAAAACGTATTTAGAAGTGATAGTGAACTATCCGATAATGAAATTAAGAGTAGCGAATGCTTGATGATCCGGAATAGACACCGAGTAAGACGAAAAATAATTTCATCAAGTGAGAGTGAAACTGAAGAAGAAAGGGTACAGGTCAAAGTTGAAAAAATTGAAACGATTCTTGATAATAAATGTGATAAATCTGAAGGTGCGACTGACTTCATACAAGTTGTTACCAATTTGAATATTATGGAAACCGAATCGAAGATACAAGTGAAATTAGAGCAACCAGAGGAAGATAATTCAAGTGTTGAAAAAAGTCAAGGCCAATTTCCTATAAAATCTGCAGCCGAGCTTTTAGCAATAATACGGCCTGCAAAAAAGCCTTCATTTGGAGATGGTTCCGATTTCTATCCAGGCTGGGAAGAAGGTGTATACAAATATAAGAAGTCGTTAAGAATGCCGCCCAGTCTGATACAACTTACAAGACCGCCTATGAGATTGTCTACCTCTTTGCCTGACTTAGATCCATGCCCTCAGTCTCCAACAACATCAATAACAACCGACATTGAATCAAAAGATTCCTTAACCTACAGCAAAAAGGAATTTAAGCGTTTTCAGTCCGAGTCAGTGGACAGCGATAGTGAGAGTACAAGTAGCTTTAATATATTTAGTAAGCGAACCAATTATGATTCTGAAGGTTCCTCGTCTATTAAAAGTTTACCTAACACAAGAAAAGAGAACTTGTCTATTTTGGATAAATTGCTAGAGAAATGTGGAGGTAGAAAAAAGAAAAAACATAAAAGAAAAGATGATCATTCACCAAAAATCACACCTAGGGCGGATAATCCTATTGAGCTATTAGCAACTCCGACACCCAGTTTGGCTGTTAGCACTATGTCACCAGAAAAGTCGAAAGGCCTTACTTCCCAAGTGATTAGCGCCACTTCTGCTGTTTTGCCATTTAGGAAAGATACGGTAAATCACTTCAAAGACGCTTTTATCAATAGCGGGAATAGCATTTTAGGTGTTCATGATAAGTTCACCACCATTGTTCTATCATCAAGAACTAGGAAGGAAACTAGGGCTATGAAGCAAAGGGTGACAATAAAAGAAGTATTTGGAGAAGATCGTCCTGCATCTGCTCCCCCTGTAACTTGTGTCAATGAATGCAATGCAAGTGTTCCAACTCTTGAACCGTTTTCTAAAAATTTGCAAGAAATTATGGTTAAACGGGAAAAGCTAGATAATGAAGATATTCGAAGCATTCTGAATAGGACTGCTGGCAAAGAAGATAATAGCATAAATAACAATAATAACCTGAATAGGCATTCAAAAGAATTATTAGCGAAAGACTTGCTGTCACTGAAAATTAAAAAAGAGCTTGAAGAGGAAGATGAAGATGAAAATAAAAAGCTTATTGACTTGGTTATTAAAAAAGACTTAGATGTTTGCTCGGAAACAATGTCGCTGGACAGCGAGGAGATAGGATTGACTGCCAAACGAAAGAATAAATTCGGAAAAATGCGACGAAAGTTTAGTTCCGGATTCGATTATATAAGGAAAAAGAAAAAAGTTAAAAAGGAAGATCCGGATAACGGCAGCACCGAGAAGAAAAAAAAGAAAATTATATCTGCCAAAACGCCAGAATCTATCGATGATATTCAGAAAGAAATAAAAAACTGGGTTCTAAACAAGGGCGTCGGAGAATCGCATCTACATAGGGCTGCTCGATTAGGATACGTGGTGAGTAATTACATGTTAAGTAACCAAATGGTTGTTAACAAAGTGTATACAGTGCAGAACCTAACGTTTTTGTTTGTTAATACTGTGTGTAATTAACATATGGTTGAGTACTTATTTTTTTAAACGCAATTTCAGGACATCACCGCGTTCTGCTTAGATAAGATGAATAACTCGCCAAGTCCAAAAGACAATGCTGGTTACACCCCCCTTCACGAAGCATGTGCCAGAGGCCACTTGGAAATAGCGAAATTGCTTCTCAAGTATGGTGCCAATGTTCACGAAGCAGCAAAAGGGGGTATAAGGTGAGGCGCTAGGCGCACGAATATTTGACAATATTTTTATTATAAAATAGAGGTATATTATTCGAGTTAAGTCTTCGGTTCTAGCTCGATTGAATTGTATATAGTATTGTCAAAGTATAAATAGCAGCTCATTCTTGTGTGTTCCTTGATGACGTGCCTCCTAGGCAATTTATAAGAAGTCCGTGTGAAATAGCCAACAAATCCAGTTGTTCACGATCTGATAGTAAATAACACAAAGAGCTATGCCCAATCTGCATACTGAGTTAATCATTTCAAGCAAGAATGCATTAATTCAAACAACCGTTAAGCAAAACGGAAAATCTAATGGCTATGGCTAAGCAAACTGATATAAATCTAGTAAAAACAAGGGTTTACAAATTCAGATCTCCGAATTTTAAAAAAATACAACTTTCAACCAGAAAAAAAATGTTTTACTGGTGGTAATGCATTTCTGAATCCTAAATAATAAACTATTCATTTAATTGGTTTTTCGTCGATAGCTCGAAATCATATAATTTGAATTTAATACGTTTTGATGCGTGGCTTCTCATGTTTTCTCACGTGGTGACGTCTAAATATGGATTTTATCATCTCGCTTTTTTGCCCGATAGTTATTTAAGTTTTTGTGAAAGTGTTGTGTTTTCAGGCCGCTTCACGAAGCCATCGAAAACGGATTTGTGGAAGTAGTAAGACTGCTTCTTTCATTCGGAGCTGATCCGTCTTTAGCCACATACGCCGGATTAACCCCAATTTCTTTAGCAACTGACGAGAACATGAAAACATTACTTAAGGATCATCTACGTGATAAAGCAGGCGAAGGCGGACCATCTTGGCCGTTTCGTGGGCCTTCGTCATGTTTTGGTAAGTGGCACACTTATAGTTTAAAATGTTTTGGTTTATCCATTATTTAGACTTTTCGTCACCTTAAAAAAAGGGTGCGTCACGGGAAGAGCCGTACCGAAAGAAGTGATAACAGGAATAGAATGTGGATCAGGAATAGGTAAAATGTAACTTAATTTTATTTTGAATGTAAAATATTTATTTCAACATTTAACATTCTTCAAAATTTGCAGTTGACTCGTACAGCGGCAGTTTTATTTGAAATATCTATTCCATTAACTTCTAATTTATATAATAACTGGACTTAACAAATCCATCCATCCAATTTCATTGGCACTAAGAGCCATGAATGCTGTGGGCTTTACTTTTTGTCTAATAATTGCGAATAGATTGTTTTTCAACCCGACCAATACCAAACCGAATTTGGTATGCACCTGAGGAAAGCAAAGTTGCTTTTTATTCAATTATTAATGCAGGGTGATTTAAAATTTGCGTCATTCCTCTAGAAGTGTTGTCTGGGGTTGTTTTGAGAGTAAAGGAAAAAAAGTAAACAAAATCTATTGTTATTAAAAACTGAGATATTTGCAAAAACTATATCAGAAGCATGGCAAGAATGTTTTCAAAGTAATCTACCTAATTAAGATTACGTAAATACCTGTTTTTTCGTAATTATTCAAAACTCCGGTAACCATGGAATTATACAGAAAGTGACAATAAAATCGACAAGGATCAACAGTAAATTCAACAAGATTCGTTAAATGTGAAACGCAGTTTTTCGAAATGTCCACATTGTTATCCTAACTTCAAATTGATGTGAACATTTCATCAATAAATAAACATTTCAGTCTTTAACTGCAAACAAGTTAGTGCCCGTGTAGTCACCTGCTATGATCCCTTTTCTATGCACTCTTCTCAATGTCCCGTATTCGGTTAATTAACTCCTGCTCAATTTGTGCCGGTGTTCAGTAAGCCATTGCGTTTAATGTGTCCTTGTGCTGTGCGTATCTTACATACGTGGTAGGAATGTAGCCCTTCCTTGGTATTTATTTATTATATTAAACGGCGTATTAATAACAATGCCTTGTCGCTGTATGCGTGCGAGAGAGAACGCAAGATCCCTAAGGGTGGGGATGGCCCGACATAACGGCGCCGTAACGCATTCCACCCAATTTACGCCGTGCCATAAGAAGTTATTACTTCAAAAATGAATCATAAGGGGCTACATGTACGTTTTTGGTTTTATTTGCTTTGCTTGTAGTTCAAGGTTTTCTTAAAACTGGGTTGAAACTGTGAAAATGCCTCCTCCCGATGATCTTATTTTTGACTCACTCACTCCCTATCCGTTTGTTTGGATGGACTGGCCCTAGGACTGGATTAAAAACCTCTTTTATTTTCTAAAAATGATCGTTGTTTAGATCTTTTATTCGGATCTTTCTCAATAGCGTGTCGAAAAAGTGGCCAATTCAGATAATAAAAGAACTTTTTGATCCAGTCTCGAACACCAGCTATCCAAACGTACTTATTTTACCAAATTGTTAAAAAAATGCCCAGAAAAAATATACCCAACATATATCGACGCATGCAAGGAAGATAGAATTTTTATTTATATGACAAAGTATGTTTGTTCTTTTCAGATCCAGAGGAATCCGGTTATAATGTTTTATCTGACACCCCTCTGGAGGATTCGGACAAAGAACTGGAAGACATAGAAATCGACATGTCGGAAGGACTCCTGCCAAATCTTTACATTCTCCGAGAGGAAGCCCCTACGGACCGGTGGGTTCTTCTCCAAGACTTGTCTCATTTCCTGAAGATTAAATCACGGGATGCATTACTCAGACAAATATCTTTGCCTACCGGTTCGAACATTAAAGTGAATTACAAGAACGTGATCAAAGAACTAAAAATGTCGGACTTTTTAGAGCAAGCCCATTGCTGTCAGTTTTTGAATATGGGTGAAAAGATCAACACCAGAGCGTCGAAGATCGCTCTGGTAAAATATACGGACCGAGTGAAAGAACTCTTAGGTATCGAATCGGCTGTTATTTCGGCAAGGTGACATATGGCGACAACGTCAAATGTTTAATAGGTCTTTATTAAATGTTAGGAAAGACATAGTTTCTAAGAAAATTTATCAGAGATTTAACGGAATTTTTGGTGTTATTCGATACCTCCAACCATTCCACAGTTTTTGGAAGGATTACGAAATAAATGTGAATGGTAACTGAATAAGCAGTTTATTAAAATGTGCAATTCCTTTCCGAAGCATCTAATTTTTCAAAATACTACTTGCAGCTATTTAAGTTTCGAATTATCGCAGATGTGTAACAATATTTTATGGATCTGATGATGGTTATGAAGTGAAGTCATTATAACAATAGAAATTGTATGTTGATAGTAATTTGAAATTAATGTCAAAAACCCTATTCTGAGTAATTCATATAAGTTCTGATGTGTTTTCTATTTATTGATAAGCTACTATTGGCATCATTTGGTTTAACCAAGCTCAGAAATAATGTCAGATTATTGTGTTTGGTTATTTTATGATTGGGCTTATTTAAAGTAAAATTAAGTAAAGTCCTAGATTTATTAGTTTTGGAATGCCCAATTTAGCAATGAAAAATGTGCAAATAGTTGAATTACTTGATGGTGAAAGTAATCACTGGAAATGAACTAGCCCTTAAGCACTCAAAGTAGTATGGATTTATTAGTTGGAATTTATCATGGTTTTTTAAATCAATATTCCTAAATTCTAACTTTTTAAATTAATATTCTTTAGTTACGGTTCGAACTGGCTGAAAATTAAATCATTAAATATTGTTAATCTTTTTAAATTTTGAAAAGGTGAAGAAGCGAAATTCAATAAGGTTTCCATCTATTTTTTGAAGTTAATATATCAATTATGAAATTAACCCATAAGCAAGATGAGACAATACTGTCGTTCAAATTTACAAAAAATACCATTAAACGAATGTTTTTTTCAACTTATCGAAGTACTTTTGTCTATGTATGACACTTTAAACTTAATCGTTCTGTTTTGATACTTTGGCGAGTAATGTGTAACCTTTTTAGTAAAGTAGGTGTAACTTTTTCAAACCATATCAAAACCATAATAACTGTGTATTTGAAAGGCATGTTTTACTTACTTCAATAAACACATCAAATGCTTATGACAAAACCACGCTCCTTTGGGTTTAGATTTATTTATGAGTTACTCATAATAACCAGATGAAACTTATTTTTGAGACAGGAGATGCTGTTGAGGTGGTCGAGCCAAGAGAGCTACAGGCTATATCAGTTATGATTAAGATTCTGAAGTACCCACTTGCAAGTCGAGCTGGTAAATTGCCTCGTAACAGAATCATTATAAAAAAGCTTTAATGATACAAACATTACGACGATCTATATGCTACGGTTAACATTGGAAATTATGTTAATCTCAATATTACCAGTTAATACCTAGAATAACACTTTCCGTTGGTTAATGTTCGTATATTGACTAATTAAGTCATATTCACGTAAGAAGTATTCACAATGTATTTAATAATAATACATTAACATGGGCGCAAAATGGCTAAACTTGACTTTCAAATTTGTGTTAAACTCGAGATTAACCGATTAATGTTGCGATTACCTTACTTGGATCTTCAACCGTAACATGTACTCTTCCAATCGAAATATTGAGCGTTTGTGCAATTTTCGGTCACTTTTATAATTCTTACACACAAGAAACTTTCTATTCTTTAAAACGAATCCTTAGGCAAAAGAAATCCCGCGATTCTCTCAAGAAGTAAAATCAAACTGATGCTTGTTTCGTTCAAAATAAAATTAAATTTTAAATAAAAAATCAAAAAAATGTTTCAATTAAAAACACACCTAATGGTGTGAGATCACAGTATCTAGCGAGCCAAGATTCTTTCCACTTCAACAGTAATTACAGTGTGACAAAAAAAAATTTCGGAGACAACTTGTTTTAATCATAACTTTTTTTATTAAAAATCAAAATTATACACATTCGAAAGCCTACAAAATACATAAACAACTATTCGAAATGGCCTCCTTCAGCCGACACATAGGTTTGCAGACGCCTTCAGAAATTTTTGATGATGGTCGCAAGTGTTTTTTCTCAGGTTTCGTCCCACGCCTTTTGGAGAGAACGCTGGTTTGCAGGGCAGGTCTTTTGCTCCAGGATCGACCAAATTGCAAAGTCCGTCGGATTCAGGTCGGGCGAGCTAGACGGCCACAAAGTCTTGTCCCAGACAGCGATTTTGTTGGTTTTGCAAAAATCCATGATCGACCTCGCAAAATGAGCTGGTGCCCAATCCCGTTGAAGTGTCCAGTGCGGATTTTTGAAGTGTTGTGGGATCCAGGGAATCACGACGTCCTTCAAAATGTATTCTTGGTAGACTTGGGCGTTGATCTTGACACCGCGCTCGACGGACACCAGCGGTGTTTTTCCGTTTTCGAAGTTCCCGCCCACACCATGATGGATTTCGGAAAGTGGCGTCGTTAAACTCGGGTTTTTTCTAAAAATCAAGATCTTTTTTTTGAGGAGTCGCTCGAGTCGTACTCGCTTTATTCGCTAATCCAATTAATGACCTCTTCCGAGCTTGTAGGTACGAAGCTTTACCCACCTCCTCCACGAAAAAACAATTTAACACGGGAAACCAACGTAGCTTGTATATAATTTAACGGGTTACAAAATAAGCTACAACAGACAATGTCAAAAACACCATTGACATTTAAATTTTCACAATTTGTCTCTGAACTTTTGTGTCACCTGTACATTTATTTTCTTTCATTACAAAAATCTTCTGCGAATATTCCTACCCATATATCAAATATGGTATGTGATTTTCCAACTCCGTGTTCCGACTATAATGATGTTACTATGAAATCTGGTACGTCTCCAATTGCATTTAACTTCTGGCTTTCCGTCTTGTTGACCAAGATTGGTTTAACTGTAAACCAATTGTTTTTTTTATCACGGCAAAATTTCCAAACATATAATATTTAAAAGAAATGTAGTCTCTTCTGCTATAACAGTTAGTAGAATGTTTCGGTTGCGTAGTTGGAGGCGCTCGGGAATTCATAAGCGTTAAAATATAAGTCGCTGATCCATGAAACTTTCTGTTTTATAGTATATACAATTCTACCATATAGTACAAGTTATAATAACACAAACTCAACTTAACTTATATACACTTAGCGTAGCATCAACAGAAGAAAGACGCAATGTCAAATTTTGGGTTTTCTTGTTTTAAAATTAAATAACTTGTGATCTAATCGATGAATCCTCGTGTTTAAATCAAATAAAGCTTAGGAATCTTGGAAAATTTTTAAATAAAGTCAAGTAGAACCAAGACCGAATTTCGGCAATTTTATACAGTTCTGCTCTTTTATGAAAAGGAAAAAAGCTTCAGGAAATGTTTATAAGCACAAGTATATTATTATAAAAATATATTATTCATTAAAATAAAGTACTCAAGTCTTGTTAGATATTTGCAAAAATTATCAGCTTTGCCAGTTTTTCCGCTTGTATATACCTTTAAATGACCTTAACTATCATTTTTTTTCCCAAGATTTCTGATTGCCTGAGCTTCATTTGGCACAAAAACCACGAGGATTCATTAGTCATATCAAAAGTTGTTTGATTTTAAAGCAAGAAAAACCAAAATGTGACTGCGAGGCGGCGAGTGTGATGGCCGCCTCACATCGATCTAAATAAAAACTGTAACTTTTCTGAATTTAAGCATTCACAACTAGTTAACATTCATATTAATATGGTACAAGCATTTTCATGTTTAACTCTTAAGCTGAATATAATTTGATCTCAAAATATGTATTGGGATTTACAGAATTAACTAAAAATGTTATGCACAATTTTCGAATTTAAGTATATAATTTACATAAAAACAAATATATACCAATACAGTTGCAAAAAAACAAAAATTAAAGTTTCTAGAAAAACGTATTGATTTATCCTGATTAAACAACTTAGAAAAATGTTTTGTTAGGTACGTTTCTAAACGTACGTTAGGTACTTTATCTATAAAGACAGCAAAATTGCTATTGACACTTTAAGATAACTTTTCTAAATTAATTTATTGACTAATTGAAATTTTCATTTTAGAGCCTCAGTTTAAATTTGTCGTAGAGTTCTCGAGTTCTCCTCTAGGTGGTAAAGAAGTCGTTTTTCGTTGTGAACTAAGAGCACTCCTTATCAACGCGTAATAAAAGACGCGAGGAAATACTATTTTCGTAAAAGGCAACAATTTTGAGGCAAATGAACTATAGTATAGTATAGACCTTAGCTAAAATATATAAATATTTACATAATGATAAATAATGCCTTTTTCTCGGTTGCCCGCATCGACAACACCATGCTGCTTCTGTCATTTACTGTTTCTCATTGATCAAGCCCATAACATTTTGCTCAAGACAATAAATCGATGGACCCCGTTAAAGCGGTCCAATTATGAACACCCTGTGCAAGTATTCAACTTTTTGCTCCACATACGTATGTCGTATGTAAAAACTACAGCTTTTTAAAGTTAATGACATTCTTTACAAATAACGAAGCATATACATTTCTATTGAAAGTAAATTATAATATACAGGATGTTATTTTTAATATTGGATTATTGTGATGTAACGCGTTCTCAAGCGAGGAGTATTTGGCATTTTTGAAACGTCTTCAATATCTAACTAAATAAATATTAGTAAAAATGCAGATACACTCCGAATTAAAATAGATTTTCTTGATTTCCAACCGCTTGAGCTTCAACAGTAGTTCATCATTAGTTTCATTATTGAACAATCATTAATACCGCAGTAAACTAATATTATAAATTCAATTATTTTTTACATATCGATATCCACTCTGATTTGTTACATTTTAGGTTCAACTGAATGGAAAACCACTTGTTTTAACCTAATTTGAACAAAATGATTTTATTATATTTGCTGAAAGGAAAAGAACCAGTGTTAGGCTTCAGTGGTGTAATGTATTTGAGAATGTTTAGTGGTTATATCTCAGAAACTACTCTGTGTAATTCCGAAAAAGTATTTATTAATATATTCGCAAATTCAACATGAAATAAAATTTAAAGGTATACATATCGTGGACAATATTAGAAGCAATTTTCATCCAGCACAATTTTGCTTTCTGGTGGTTATTTTTGAAATTAAGTACTATTTGAATCCCATGGTGGTCCCAATCCGCAATAGAATTACTTTGAATTAGGCTGACGAGCAGTTTCTGAAAAAATTCCCATACACGTGGTCCATCTCCAATAAAGTAGGTCTTGAGTATTAACAGTTAAACAGGCAAAATACAATAACTACTCTAATCTATATACTAAGAGTTTAGATAACTCGAGAAAACTGTTAATTTACTAGATTCACTCTGTAATTATGTATAAGCAATTGTCTTTGGTGCAAGAACGAGATCAGTTTACGTTTATTCAATTATTGAAGTTTTTTGTTTATGTTAAAGTACCCAAACCATTATTATTAGTTATATACGCCAAATTATTAGTAATGTGCAATCAAAGTAAACTGGGTCGGGAAATCTTCCCTGTAAATATTGAATTAAACTACATCGCAGGCCAACTTAACTATGGATCTAGTCTATGACTATGCAATATTGATGTAATGCCACCGTTTCAAACTATTGTAGTAATGTGTATTGATTTAAAGCTTCTGACCAGGTACAACATTTATTTGGATGTTGTAAATTTGATGTAGAAAAAAACCGTCAAAATATGGTTCATACAGTCTACTAGTAGGAAATGGTGATATTAATTTATTTAAGGCTGCAAACAAATAAAAAGATAAGCATTTTGTTGTTATTCATATTTTTTTCAACCGACTAGGTAGATTAAATGTTGTTTCAGTTATTATCTTAATGCTCAGGGACCTTAATCTTACTCTTTAGTTTTCTTGTAAACACTTTGTTCGGTTATGCATAGTCTTTCATGATTGTACATAATAGTGTAGCAGTAAGAAATATATGTGGTTTGAATGTCTCGATTAACAGATACCTTGTCTTGAATGAACTCGCATGATATATTAATTGCTAGACGTCTTCAATTTTAGTTGCTGATTACAATTTCAATTCTTCCATGACTAATATCGGTGTAAAATAGTGAAAAGAACTATATATTAATAAATCAGACAAACACTGTGATTAAAATTAATTCTTCTCACTAATACTGAACTAACTTAGTATTGTACCACATAAATAAGTAAAATATCGTAAATGTCTATAAGAAATAAAACATATTTTTAAATAAGTTTATATTAAGAATCGCATTTTGCTGTAAAATCGAAGTCATAAGTAATGTACATGTATTTATTTTTATTTGTGCCCTTGGTAATGTACAGTTAAGATTATCTGTGATGAGTAACGTCGAAGAAAGTGCAATGCTTTGATCAGTGAAATTTGTGATTTGTCCATTGTCCTATCTCTGAGTGTTGTAGAATAACGACTAAGTAAGTAATAATTTAATTTATCGCTTATTTTTTTCACATTTTTCATGTTTTTTTTTGTTTTAGTATAAAATACGTGGATTAAGAATCATGTGTTTTTTTTTCCTATCTTTGAACTGCTCCTGCTTTAAGCCAAAAAGCAAAGTGGTAAATTAAGCTGAGTCTGGGCAAGGCTGTATCTACGAGGGTCGTTTGATAAGTTAGTAACTTTTTGAAAGAAATAAAAAGATTTCGGACAAAAAGTTTTATTTCTCAGCATAGACTCCTTTTAGGCCGATACACTCAGTCCAGCGCCCTTCCAATTTTTTTATCCCTTCCAAATAATATAATTTCTCGAGGTCCTCAAAATATGCGTTTGTTTCAATGATGACCGATTTATTGAACCCAAATCTCATACCACCCAGCCATTTCTTCAGGTTTGGAAACAGGAAATAGTCGCAGGGGAATATGCTGGGTCGGGTAGCAGCTCGTAGCTTAATTCATCATCCTCATGGATTTTTGCCATGGCGACTACACACGTGTGCACCCGTGCATTGTCCTGATGAATCAGCACTGCACAGCACCAAATTCAGCCGTTTTAGCTTCAAGTCAACATAGAATTTAATCAGTTTGAGAATCTTTTATGAACACTGCATTTGTTTAAAAATAATGTTTTATTTAATTATTTAGTATATTTAATAAAACATTTATAATATTAAGTTTTTTATTTAATGCATTTTTTGATGTGCCCAGTTGACTTGATTCAAGCAAAAATTAAGCTATTGTCTAAATTTTGCCGAATAACTCAGAAACGGTAAGTTTTAAAGTTACCACCCCTTATATAAACTAGCTTTAAAATTTAACGGTAAATCTAAAAATTGAAAAAATGGGGGGTTCCATTTGAAATAACCAAGTTATTGAGACCAACAAACATTCAATTTTGGATGATCATGGGGCGGTTGATTGTAAAATTTTCGTAAATTAACATTCAGCAGTTACCTTGTTTAGGCTTCTTGGAGGTCCACAAGACCGATTTCAAAATTCGTAGCGATTAGAGTACAGCGCCAATTTCTGTGAAACCCAGCAGCTGTCAAAATTTTCATATTTTTTCGAATAATTCGAAAACCGTAAATTTCAACTTTTTTGAACTCGGAATAGCAACGGATACACACGGAAAAAAAGAAAAAAGTGCGTTTTATATAATCCTTTATATCGTATTTATTATAAAAGATTCAATAACGAAATTTTCAGGGTGGGGGTAAGAAATGAGCGTAAATTTGAAAATAAAGTAAAAAATAATCTAGGCTGACTATGTTCAATGAGGCCGAAGTCAACTTTTGGTTTTCTTATGGGCGCCATATTGAATTTCTGCATTTTTAAGTTCCCCTTTAAATATGCTATTCAACCATGCTTCACCAAACATGTTCAGAAAAAAATTCACTGAGTTACCCAGGCCTACTTCGTACTATTATGATAACGTAAAATTACTGACCCTGAAAGCGCATTTTAGTATATAGCAGTCGTAATTGCAGGTCCAGATACGAGACGTAGTTTTGCTGGGTTTAAAGCTATCAATGCAGAAAACAAGTTTTATCAGACTATGAAGGCTTTCACGGCCGGTTAAATCACATTTAGGAGTGTTTTCCGGGCTTTGAAGCCGTGGTCTATGGGAACTTCTTCCTGACGTTTCGTCCACAACTGCGGTGGACATTATCAAAGGCGAGGAGGCAATGGGCGAAGTGATCTCCCGTGCTTTCCGACTAAGACTGATTCAACTGCTGGATTCCCCGTCGTATTTATGCAGCCAAGCCGTGTGTGCTCATGCGTGGGGGATGGGTGGGGGTTCCAACGCTTCGGCGCACATGCTGTTTGGCGCAAAACGGGCTTCCAATCTGGATTGAGTGCCGTAATTTCTTCTTTTTTGTTAAAATTGTTTTGGTGTTTAAATATTTCGATGGCCTCTCTGGTGAGTCTCGGGTAGTATCTTTCAGATTGGTGCAGAATGTCCACTGCTGATTTTTCTGTTTGTCCCAATCTGCTGCATAAATACGACGGGGAATCCAGCAGTTGCCAGCGTAGCAGTAAGAAGTTTGTAAACTTATGACTTATGTTCCAACACAGCAGTTGAACCAGTCTTAGTCGGAAAGCACGGGATATCACTTCGCCCACTGCCTCATCGCCTTTGATAATGTCCACCGCAGTTGTGGACGAAACGTCAGGAAGAA